TGCAGACTCATTCTAATTATTTAGGGCTTAAATCAGCCTTTTCCAGCAGTTTCTTCCCCAGGTTTGTCTCTCTAATTCTCATTCCACTCAGGGCATGATTATCAACTTCACAGACCCTCTGAAAGTGATTAAGTTGTGATGAAGACAACTCTATTGTTTGTCTTTTTGCTGATATGTTTTAGGAGCTCTATTCTTCCAAAGAGAAGAATTTATATTGAGAATTTAGCCCAGATATAAGAGCTTAGCCCAGTCCTATACCAATCATGTTTGCTATTAAACAAATCTACCGTCTCATAACAAGCAATGAGAAGAAAATACTCATCTGCCATTAAAAAGTAAAAACCAAGAGCTTATGACTGTTTCCTGGAAATTGATATGATTTGTACGATTTCTTACCCCCAAAAGTGAAACAAAAATTATCAGAATGACATTGCATGAAATAAATTACTTTAATTACGATTTCCCAGTTGCTCTTTTGTAAATATAGCAACTAGCACAATGGCTTTTCAAAAACATCCTGTGTTTAAAAGCAAAGAAGACCTCTGAAGAACATAGTGGGCTGCACTTTGTCATTGTTGAGGTTATTTAGGCAACTCAGCAACAGGGTCCCACTGCTGTAGAAAAGAGGACAATGCTTAAAAATTTAAAACTGTCTTCAGTATTTACCTCAGATTATGGAGCCTTTTATCTTAAGCCAAAATTCTGGCAGCAATGACTGCTTGAACTGAGCCTTCAGCAGACTAAACATGTAAGATTTAAAATAAAACAACCTGTGACTTCATCATGTGGGGAATTACAATTTGAAGTAACTTTTTTTCCTTGAAAGCCCTTTATAAAATATTCTGAAAACAAGTTGCAAAAGAGACTGTAACTTTCCTGATGGTGAACACCAGTGTCATTTCTTTCCCTGCCCTTCACTGCAGAAATACCTTTGTTTTGTGTCTTGTGTTCTTTGTGGCAGACTAACACTCAGGAGTTTGGGTTTTATTTTCTTTCTTCTTCTAGGGTTTTGGTTTGTTTGCTTGTTTGTTTTTATCAGATAGGTTTTACAGATTAGTATTTCTGATCTTTGTAGCAAACACTGAACTCAGAAAACCCCACCTCTTTATGATTAATTCCTTGCAGTCTGGAATATTAGATAATGATATATCTGTGGCAAAAGCCGATGTCATTTCACAACAGCACCCCACCCCTGGGCCATGAGGTGGTTCTTAGCTGACATCAAGTCATGCAAGCAAATGAACCTCAAGTCCACATCTGATTAGAGCAGATATATGGGAGGTATGAACAGGACTGGCCAGATGCTACACCATATTATAAACACCAAGGATCATGGCATCATATAAAACTGGGCATTTATATGGTACAACTGGCTGTGCATTGTCTCCTAATTTATAGGCCTGGAGCATCTGATGCATTGCTGTTGCTCTATCAGCTTTTCTGGAGCCCTGTTCTTGGATTTCTGGTAGCTGAATCTCGCTCTTCTGAGTGACAGCAGAATAGGAAGTTAAAGCCATTTACAAGAGGAGACAAGCTCTTATTCCAGCTGACAAATAAGATAATGTTCAAACAGTCATAAAAGAAAAAACAGTAAGCCCTTGTGAGATGGGCTCCACTTCATAGGAAAATCAGTAAGTTCAAACTCTAAAAGACATAATATCTATTTCTTATTGGCAGGACCCTCAGCTGGATGAGGAAGTTGTTAGAGGTTGCTCCCATGACAGCAGACATGCCTCAGCGACAAGGCAGGTGAGAGCTAACAGAATAGGTTGCACAAGTCCTGCTTGGTCTTCCTCACTCAATTCCGTAGCCCTGGAATGTATTTACTTATCGCATTTATTTCTCTCTTTCCTGAAACAGAAACTGGCACCTGGAACTTTGTTAGAAAATGTCTGCTCTGTGCGTGACTGTAAAAACAAGAGAAGGGTGTTTTCAGCTGGGTCTTGCAGACTTACAGGACAAAGAGCTAAGCTGATGATATGAAAGCATCCTGCACTGTGGAGCTGTGTACCAGCCTGGGCAGTTCTGGAGATGTGGACCCACAGCAGAAGATCTGCTTGTGCCCATGAGGCCGAAGATAAGGAGAGCTAGAGCTCACTTTTCCAGGGATTTCCAAACTGACTTGCCTGCAGGAAAGTCCCAGCTGTAGTTTAGAGAACTTTTTCCATTCTACCCTCATGGAGTCATATACAGCAGCACAGCATACAGTCTAAGGCACAGTAAATGGTTTTTAAAAGTTATATCACTACCAAGGCTATTTAGAAGCTGTGGGTGCAGATCACTCAGCCATTGCAGAAAAAAAATACAGCACCAGTCATTTTACCAAACT